GGCGGTGTCCTCGCCCCCGCCATTGGCGTCCTCGTCCTCGGAGTAGTAGATGGATGAGTCAAACTCCTCAGGGTCCTCGCATGGCTTCGGGAGTTCCTTCCCCTTTCGGATCCGCTCGAGCAAAACCTCTTGAGCCCGTTGCAGCCCCAGGGAATAGTTGGCTTGCCCTTCTTTGAGAAGGAGACGCTGGCCGGCCGGAGTTTGAGCCCAGATCTTCAAAAGATCGTCCATGCGGGAGAGAGCCGCCTCCTCGAACGCAGGGGAGGTCTGAAAGGCCTCAATTACATGCTCGGCTTCCTCATCAAGACGGCGCGCCTTCTCCTCAGCAGCAATGCGGGCCTGCTCCGCAACTCGAGCCCGCTCCTCCGCGTCAGCGAGCTTCCCCTCGAGGCCAGCCACGTGCTCCTGCAGCCTCCGAAGCTCCTCTTCGCCCTTGGCCTTCTCCGCCACATACCACTCGAAGCGCTCCACCAGCTCTGGGGCGCGCATGGCCACCTACAACAACAATAAAATTCCAGTAAAACGTGTTAGAATCCATCTAAGTGTCGGGCAGAAACACACGCGGGCTAGAGCGAAGAATGCTTACCGAACCCAACTCGAGCAAGAGAGTGGAGGCGAGGTCCTCCGTGGCGGCCGAACTTATCTCCATTCGGTCTCGCGGAGGGATGAAGCTCTGCAGAAAACGGCAAGGCTCATAGTCCCCATGCAAGAATGAAGGCTTGGGGGGGAACGCCACTTTCACGAAGGCCGGGTTCCCGCAGTCGACCGAGCGCGAGGGTGGGGACCTCGCTCCGCTCAACAAAGCCCCTTCCATCGAGGAGCTCACATCCTTGCGCTTCTTATTCGTCTGGGTACGCTCGGCGGACGGCGTGGGAGTGGGAAGCGGAGGCCGTTCTTGGCCGGACTTCGATCGGGGCTTGGACTTGAACAGCTTCTTCCTATCGGCCGCGGAGATCATGATTTCACCTGCAAGGAAGATAAGATATTAGTTCGAATCCCTACAAGGAGCCCAAACCCGCTAAGGAAGCGAACGAGGGAAACCTGAGGGTCCTTCTTCAAGCTGACTTTGGACAACCCGGCGCTTGGGCTTGTCCTCGTCATGGAAGACGAACCCAAACTTGGAGAGAGCCTCGTCATTCACTAAGACCCCGGGCTCGTAAGGGCCACCCGAACACAACTTGTCCGTATCAGCAGTAGCCTTGGTAGAGGAAAAGGGTTTGGATCGTCTATGAAAAGAGCTGAGGGGAGTGTCTCGGAAGGGGGAGGCTGACCCCACGGAAACGAAGACAAACTTGGACTTCCAAGTCCTGTTGGATTCCTTCTTTGTTTTAAAAAGTCTCTCTTGCCGTTGGCAGAGGGCGGCAAAAGAACCCCCATCCGACCCGGAAGACTTCGCCACTCGGAAAAGGGTCAGTAGGCGCTCAAGGTCGGCCCGCACGCCCACCTCCCGACAGCGGATCAAGAACCCCGCCAAGTACCGGTGCGAGTTCGGCACCAATTGACACGGGAGGAAGTCAAAGTGTTTGAAAAAGTCGGTGACCAAGGACTCCAAGGGGAAGCGGAAGCCGCTCTCAAGGGACTTGAGATGGATGGCGAAGTAGCCCGGAGGAGCGTCGAAGACCGACTCCTCCGGAGTTGGGCGACGAACGGTCACGAGGGGGCCGGCGTAGCGCACCGCCTTGAGGAACTCGTCACTCGACAAGTCGCACTTGCACTCGCGGATGAGCGAGTCCACGAGCAATGTGCGCTTCTGAAGGTGGGGCTCAGTTTCCCCGGGCACCTCTACGGCCGCGATTTCCTCGATGGATGGGGAACCTGGCTGCTCCGCTTGGCCGCCCTGGGTACGGAACCCTGAATGCCGAGCACGAGCCCGTGCTCGGCATCGGACGAACGAAGAGTGGAAGACTCGACAGACATGGAATGAGCAGAACAGAGGGACTGACCTCGAGTGTGTCGCCGAAGAGACGGTCAGAGAGCAGCGAACAGCGGCACGGAACGGCAAGAGAACGACAACCCTAATATTTTCTCTCTCTAGAATTTGTGAGAATGAAGAAAGCCTTGGGGATTATTTATACTAAAATCGGGCCCGAATAGTGATGGGCCGGACATGTGTCACGATGGGCCGCCACTTGGGAGAAGCGAAGCGCCACAACCGTTCGTGGGGGACTCCAAACGTCACCGCCAATCCGCCAAGCTACGCGTGGGCCCACGAGCTGACCGTCCACAATGTTTTCTACTCTTACGCGCTCCGCTGCTAGACGCCACGGAACCCGGAGAGTGGGGGGCTTCTGATGGGGAATAACCCCACACCAGCCTAGGGCTGACATCAGCATAAATTTCCAAAGGATCGGGCTTGGACGTTTCTGCCCAGCCCTGCGCTCCGCTCGTCCTTCCTGCCCGGCTCTGCGCTCCGCTCGTCCTTCCTGCTCGGCCGACCAAGCCGAGCCCGAGCCCGAGCCCCACGACAATGACATGCGGAAAGCGACGTTCAACGGAGGCTTGAGGAAAGCGATAGGATGAAAGGGACAAGACGTGCAGAAAACGACGTTCAACGAAGACTTGGTGAAAGCGATAGGATGAAAGGGACAAGACCTAAGGACAGGTGACGTCCGCTAAACGACGGGCCTCGATCAGAGGGCTTTGACTTAGTATATTGTACCCCCTATAAAAGGGGTGGCACCCCTCATTGTAATGGATCCGATTTTTGAAATCAATATACTCCTACTTTGCATTCTCTCTCTCTAAAACTTACATTATTTCATACTCTCGGTGGTTTATAGCCATCA